GACACGGTCTAAGACTTGTGGTCTCCCAGTAGTTGAGTCCTAATATTAATGAAAGGAATTAATTAAGAAAACAAAAACAAAAACAAAACTAATTGTAAATAAAATCTCAATTCATTCGTATCATCCACTATAACAGTAAAACTAATCCAGTTCCTATTTCTTTATAATAAACCATCGCCTTCCATTCCTATGCATAACTATCATATATTTCTGGTAGACTTTGTTCACTAACAAAAACCAATAGACATACAGTAATACTAAAGTAATTATACAGTACTATAACTTTATAAGCAATGAGTTTATTATAGAAATAATATGTTAAATATAATTAAAAATCAGAAAACATTAACAAAATTAAGCGACAAAACAAAACACACGGCAACTAATTGACAAAAATCATAAACTATCGGACTTTTTGGGGGCGACGGGTAACAACTGGGGGTCGGATTTAGTGAACTTATAATTGGGAGAAACGCGTCTAAACCTATTGCCATCCGGATCATCATTATAGGCCTGTGCCGGCTCACCCATCATATACTTCTTACACTTGACCACCGCCAGCACCACACACACCAAGGAGTCACAAATGGCCAGAATCGCCGTAAAGACAAACCAATTGACGTACGCTATCATGAGAGCGCCCATCACCAGGAACTGGAGGAACCAAATGAAGTAGAATATGGTTTCCATGAGAAGCCACGGAATCTTATAAAACGTTTCGATTAAATGAAATAAATATAGCATTAGAGTGAAGAACTCGACGCTCAGGGCTATGATACACACGAATATGAAGTAGTAGTACTCCATATTACAGGCCGGCCTCCCGTCCCCCTCGACCCCCGACTTTTTCGACAGCCACTCCTTGGTCTCATCTTTCATACTCCTGTCCTCCTGTGAATCCTCGAGACGCCGGTTATGCATCTCATAACAGCCCTCCATTAGCAGCACTACTATCACCACAAGAGTTGTGACCAAAATGAAGATCTGTTTATAGGCGGTGCAGCTCTTAATGGCGTTACAGTCGAGCCTCACTCTACGGAACCGTCGCTTCGATGGTGTCTTAATGTCTTCCTTCGCTCTCTTCTGATACCGGAGAGGAATGTATTTCTCTACCCGTGCTTCGGGTGTCAGCGCTGTCTTCGAGTCTTTCACTGACATCTCTATGGAGTCGATGGACTTGACTTTGGTTTGCGATTCAGTTTTTAGCGATTTCTTGACACTCTTTTCCCGATTGCTTTCGGACTTCATTTCATTCACACCATTGCTATTAGTGTTAGTCTTTGAGTTGGAACTCATTTTGTGGATTAAATTTGCAGATAATTAGGCGTCAAATGTCATACAATATGTGCTGCAAATTGAATATAAAATCTATAATAATATTGACTTTTGAATACAAAATCATACGTTTATAACCGACAAAACAGTCACTGAAGTCAGTAATTGACTCTTAATTCAAATTCAATTATTAATAATAAATTAGAAATTATTTGGAAAGGATTTGGAAATGATATAAATTTGTTTTATATTTAATATTTATATTTAATTAAATCCCAATTTTCTTGTTCCTGTATTCTGTTGCAAACATACCTGTTATTAAAGTCTAATGAATCATTAGTAATGATCTAAGACCTTTACATAAAAATTGAGTCAATTATCTAATTGCTATTATTTTGAATATAAACCCAATTAATTTCATCATTGAGTTTAATCTAACGGTTATATCACATAATTTATATCCGACTCGAATAGAAGTTTTCATTGAAGCACTCAATGAGATAATCCTTGTATAACAACACAAGGTTTGGAAATAAAAATAGTGACCAAAAGTGGTCCTAAAATCTGAGGCCCACTTCAAAAGCATTACAAATAGCACTCAAATTGTGTTCATTTCAACTGATTTTTACTTTTATTCAAACATTAAATCAAAATTAAGATTAGATTTGCTTTTCAAACGGTTTTGTATTTCAATTGATTTTTCTAAATACGACTATAATTTTGAACAAATCCTTTGATTGGAGTCTTCGCGAGGGGAACGACACCTCACTCTTCCTCTCCTCCGGAGTGCGATCTCCTTCTCCTTCTTCGTCGTCCACCACTTCTTCCTTTCGGATGGGAACGCCTTCGGCGTCGACCCCCAGACCGGGAGCGACCCTTTCGGCTCCGACCACTCGAACGGCTTCTTCGGCGATGCCTCGACTCTATGACCTGACCGCCCGATCGCACCGGAGATGTCGTCTGCTCTTCGCTCGACTCAGAGATGACTGCGATTTGACTGCGAGTTCTCATAATTGAAGCAAATTTTGCAAAGAATTTGTGGAGAATTTCAGTCACTTTTCAAACGACTAATGATTTTGTATTTCAAATGAGATCTCCTTTTATAGCATTCGTCGGAAACAATGATTCAATTCCCGCACTCTTTGGGCTGTAATTCAAGTAATCATTTTTGACAATAAATTCAGAGAATATCTCGCACTTAATGCAAACTCAATAGTATTGAGTCAATACAAAGTCTGTACAGATATTACAATTTGTAATTTACATCATTGAGACTATCATTGAAACAAAACCTAAACTATCATTTAATTTGAAATAACGGTTGAAACAGAAATCCATAGAAAATACACTCTTTTGTCGACAACTCTTGTATTTGTGGGAACCAATGGACACAATATGTTATTATCTGTGGTGTTGCGGGTGTTGTGGTCTCTGTTGTCGGCCACCATTCAAACGAAAGGATAACACATTACAAAAGAGGAAAACCCTTTCCCTGATGCGGACAATCAAACCCCCGACCCCTCGCCGGAAGTTCTCAGGGAAGACCAGTCCTAAAGCGATGACAGAGAAGGAAATGACAGACATATATATCATACCCGACAAGACCTACAAGACATTGGATGATGTGCTGCGACGGCATAACGTGTCCGTAGACTTTACGAAATTCTTAGGCGGGGGTAGCTTTGGGAAGGTATTTAAGGCCATACACTTGACTGTGGGCTCAGAGGCACCCATAGCCTGCAAACGCATAGAAATCCCGGTGTCAGGAAAGGACAGGAAGAGTAAGAGGAAGCGCGAGAGACAACTGCAAGACATTAAGACAGAACTCTATACACTGGAGAAGCTGTCGCACCCAAACATCATCCAAGTGTTGGACCACTTTATGCTGATTAAAAGGCATCCCAAGACAGGCTCGACTGTGAACCGACCCATCTATCTGTACATATTCATGCACTTCGCCCCTAACGGCACACTTCTAGGCCTCCTTCACAAACACGGGGTCTTCGATGAGCGGGACTGCTGTAAGTTCTTCGCGCAACTCCTGAGTGCTATGGACTACATGCACAGCAAAAACATCGCGCACCGGGACCTCAAACTGTCAAACGTGTTGCTCGACGACAACCTCGACTGCCTCGTCTCGGACTTCGGTTTAAGCAAAGTATACGTCGAGACGGAGCCGATGGGTATCGAGACGTTTGAAGCGAAGACCTGCTGCGGAACGCCCGGCTATATGGTATGGTATGGTATGATATGATACTGTAATGAGGTGGTGGTGCCTCCATATACAGTATATATACATATATATAATAACTTAATTTAATAATTGTTATTTAAGATATTTATTTAATAATTTATATGACATACAGGCGCCCGAAATACTGGCCGGAAAACTGGATAAGAGATCTCAGTTGAGTTACAACCCATTCCTGGCCGACGTCTGGGCCCTCGGAGTCATGCTATTTCAAGTGAGTTTAGTAATTTATTAGCACCATGTTTAGTTTATTACTAATTAATATTTATTTATTCTAATCGATTTAGCTGTTCAATGGTAACATACCGTTCCCAAAGGACCTTAAGATCGGGAAAGTGATTCGACTCATGAATAAGAAGGCGTACGACTGGTCCTCAACGAACCCCAACCCTCCGAGCCATGGCCTCCGTATGATAGTTAAGCTGATTTTGGATCCCAACCCCGACACTAGGCCTACAGTGAACTCGTTGACCACTAATGCATGGATTGTCGCCGAATTGAAGCACGAAAAGGAGACACAGACAGAGGGACAGACCGATGGAGAGACAACCGACGCACCGGTGGATAAACGAGAGACAGTCGACGATAAACACAATAAGAGTCCCAAAGAACAGTCCAAAGGGAAGCCAAAGAGTCCTAAATGAAAGCCCCAATGAGTGACTATGTAATGACCACCGATAGTCTCCACTCATATCCAATATATTATAATCTTATGTCTAATTTTGTCAATTCGTTAATATTTTTATTCATTTGTGATTTAAATCAACACATTTTATAAACACATAAATGTTTTCTTATATCTCTTATAGTTATATTCATCTAAATAATAAACATGACTTATTTATTATAAACTATATTTATAATTAGGCTTAAAATGCTTTAGAGTCTAAAGTTTAGAGTATCCACTGTTAGACAAATTTAAGATCTGCTAATATACCAGAAGTTTCCACAACTTTCGGGTCATTCCTGTCTATATTGACTCGGAAAGGGATGAACGAGTGGGCGCATAGACTTAATGTCAAATGACTATTATTCATAATCATTTAGTTATATTGAATTATATGCTACCAAATTTAAACTTGTTTTTGAAATCCAACTAAATATGACAGCGAAATAACTTGATTTACTTCCTTAACATTGAATTCAACCCATTATAAGGCATTTATAGTTCACAAGTTTTTTATTTTTACGGTATTTGTCTTAATATAATTAATGATTCATAAAATGTATTTATATGTGCTTTTAATGGTAATGCCGTTCATTTGTTGTGATTCGCATAAAAATTTAAGTAATTTCTGATTCAAAAATAATTTGTACTACAATTAACACTAAATTAAAATTTATTAACAGATACTATGAATGAATTGGCAGTTGTGTCAAACGACTGGCACTTTAATCCCAAGTTGAACAAATACTATAAAGTATTTACCGGTCATAACGTGGACTATAATGAGGCGGAATTCATATGTCAGACGTGTTTCACCGAATATTCTGTGAAGAACTCATCGCTGGTTACTATAAATTCATGGTTTGAACAGAAATACGTCTATAGTTTGGCTCTGATGTCGATGACAGACAAAGTGATGGGCGAAGCCTTTTGGGTCGGAGTCACTGAACTTCTGTGAAGAACTCATCGCTGGTTACTATAAATTCATGGTTTGAACAGAAATACGTCTATAGTTTGGCTCTGATGTCGATGACAGACAAAGTGATGGGCGAAGCCTTTTGGGTCGGAGTCACTGAACACGACGATAGGGTCCAGTGGACGGACACCTCGGCAACTGTGGACGAGAAGCTATATTATGACAATCTATTCGACGAACACAACTGTTTGATGTGTACCGCGAGGACAGACAGGTGTGGTCTTCTGGATCTGACCCGTGGATCCGATCAACACATGTCTGCATCCAATCGCTGGAAATTCAATGATTGTGACTATAAGTACGGATTTATTTGTCAATTAAATAACTAGTTAATGTAGGTTTGAGTGCATTTCAGTGTCAGTTCGCACTCAAAGTTGTTTATATATGCACTTTTGGATAATTGAATTTGTATTTTAATTATATCCGACAATTCATTTCATTTCTTGACTAAAAATTTTGTACCAAACGCTCCTAATGTTATCATAAGCTCTCAATGTTATCATATGCTCTTAATGTTATATAATAAATACTTTAAACTAAAGAAAGTTTTTATTATTTTTATTGCAAGTTTAAGTACGATTTCATATATTTTATATACGGTAGATGTATCGTTTTTTCTAATAATTGATTGTTTAATTATACAATTATCTCAATTACTAATAATTAATTTCGGAATCAAGTCAATGTATACTAGTACTGTATTAACTTAAATGATTGCGTAAATTATTGTATAATTTATTGCTAATAATAAAACTTTAAAGAAGAGCGGACTCTGACAGTCATAAAAAATTAATTTAATTATTATTATGTCTCATCTTATGATATGATATATTTCCATATCAATTGTCTTCAGTAATAATCGGCGTAAACGGGTGTATATAAGATGTGTTAGATTTGATTAAACAATTGTGTCAAACAATTATGAGTTGTTTTATTCTCAAAAACTTAAGGACAACCAATATTTTGACTCTTGAGGATCGGTTTGATTACTTTCTCCGCACTTTTTACAAATCATTTGTCATCACTTTATTTATATCTCAAGTAATTTATCTCAATTAAAGAGTTTGACTTATTTTCCATAAATTCCTGAAAACTTATCGTTCAGTCAATTATGAGAGCAAAAACTTCATCATTTGAGGGGTAAATCAATTCAATTATAATAAACACATTTTTATGAGTATAATAATTGGTTATATAATTTATTAATTGCATAAAAATCAATGTGTTTAGCAAGCAAGATGATGTCCACAAAGAAGTGGACACCAAATCCGATCCACCTGTTTCACTGTTTCAATTGGTTTGTATTTTATAAAAACTTTTGTCTCATAAATGCTTTACTAGTAATAACTTAAATAATTTTAGTTAAAATTTGCGTCAACTTCTGATAAACTACTGATATTTATCGGAGCGTTTGGGGCAACTTTGGGAGGCATATCATGGCCAGTGATGACCATTTTGTTTGGAGATATTGTCGATGTATTTGTAAACTACGAGTACGCTTATTCACATGGTTTTAATAATAGTGACATTACATTTGATGACTTCATGAATAAGACATACCTATTGAGTGGTTCCCTATTAGTGATCGCGGTATTGTTTTTTGTGACAAACTTTTTACTAATCATGTGCTTCACGAGAGCCGCTCACAACCAGATCCACACGATTCGAGTCAAATATTTCACATCTGTATTAAAACAGGAGATCTCATGGTTTGACTCGAGACCGTCCGGCGATTTCGCGTCAAGGGTTACCGCGTAAGACATGATTTGTTTTAATAGTTGTGTCTTGTATTCAATTATTTCTTCTGTCAGTGACTTGAAACGAGTTGAGGACGGAATCGGAGAGAAATTAGGCTTTGCTTTCTATCACACCTCCGCTTCCGTCACTAATATAATCATTGCATTCATCTATGGCTGGAAATTAACTCTTGTAGTGCTGGCGATGGCACCACTTTTAGGGACCGCCACCGCAATCATGACAAAAGTTTGTAATTTTTTATTAATTTTTAGTAAAAATATCTAATAATAAATTGACTGCATTTGTGAGTCCAGGTTCAGGCGACGTTTGCCCGCAAAGAGACCGAATCGTATGCCAGCGCAGGAAATGTCGCTGAAGAAGTAATAAAACTGCCATATTTAGCCATGATAATATTCACCAGATATTTTAACCATTAAACCAATTTTAACCAGGTAATATCCGCCATCCGAACCGTGTACTCATTCGGTGGCGAATCAAAAGAGATCGACAGATATGTGACAAACTTGAAGCCGGCGATGAAAAGTGGAATCCGAAGAAATTTCTTGACGGGTTTGGGAACGGGTCTCATGTGGCTGTGTCTGTACTGTGGCTTTGGTCTCGGCATCTGGTATGGCGTCAAACTGATCATCCTTTCGGAGCAGAATAACGACGACTTATACACAATCGGCAAAATGGTTATTGTCTTCTGGTGTGTGACCGGCTGTGGTTGGAATCTGGGATACATTGCACCACATCTTGAGGCCATTCAGATCGCCAGAGGAACTGCTCGCTCAGTGTTTGACATCATTGAGAGACAACCATTGATTGACATCTCGTCCCAAAAAGGAGAGAAAATCAAAAATAATTTTGAAACAAATATTGAGTTCAAAGGCATTCACTTCAACTATCCTTTGAGACCAGAGGTTAAGATATTAAATGATTTCAACTTAAGAATAAAATCTGGAGAAACGGTAGCACTTGTCGGGCCATCCGGTTGTGGAAAGTCTACAATAATTCAATTAATTCAACGCTTTTATGACACAAATAGTGGAGACGTTTTAATTGACGGCAAAAGGATTAAAGACTTAAACGTTGAATGGCTTCGGCAACAGATCGGTGTTGTGGGTCAGGAACCGGTGCTCTTCGACACATCCATTGCCGAAAACATCCGTTTGGGGTCTAAAGAGAAGACTATATCGAAAGAAGATATCGAAAGAGCCTGTATTGAAGCCAATTGTCACGAATTTATAGATAAATTACCGGAAAAGTACGAGACATATGTTGGGGATAAAGGCGCCCAATTGTCAGGCGGACAGAAGCAAAGGATAGCCATCGCCAGGGCTTTGATCTCAAAGCCAAAGATATTACTCTTAGATGAGGCCACCTCTGCCCTGGACCTACAAAGTGAGCATTTAGTGCAGTCAGCACTCGATAGGGCCAGTAAGGGGCGGACAACCATTATCGTAGCGCATCGGTTGTCGACAATCATAAACTCGGACCGAATTATATTCATAGAAAACGGGAAAGTCTTGGAAAGGTATGGTATTTGCATTTTTAATTAGTTTCAATAGCTTAATTAGATTTGATATGCAGTGGCACTCATGCAGACCTCATGACCTCAAAGGGCGCGTACTATAGGTTAGTGAACACACAGAAGAGTGAACCAAAAGACGAGAAATACGACAATCAGTTGGAGACAAATCTGTTGAAACGGTCCACGACTGTTGACAGCGATCCCAACTCATTATACGGCAAAGAAGTCACTCAAGAGGTTCCCAAAGAAGAGGAGATTCTGAAAGAGTTCTCTCAGATGAGACTTTTGAGGTTATTATGGATCGATAAGATCTATATTGTGATCGGACTGTTATGCTCGACACTGTTTGGTCTCAATGTTCCCGCCTATGCCTTCATATTTGGCTCATTAGTCGATGTCTTCGCCACAAATCAAGACCACGACGTCTTGTACAACGAATCTGTGATATATGCCATCTATTTCGTAGCGTTAGGCGCAGGCATTGCCGTCACCTCTATAACTCAGGTAATCATTAAAATCAATCATTATAACCCAGGTAATCATTAAATCAATCATTATAACTAAATTTAAAATAATCAAAAGTTTTATTTTAACATTTTTAATTCGTAATAAATGGTACCATAGATCTCAAGCTTTGGTATTGCGAGCGAAAGATTAACAATGAGATTAAGGAAACAGGCATTCAGTTCAATACTGAGACAAGAGATCGGGTGGTTTGATCAGCAAGAGAATAGCACCGGGTCCCTTTGCTCTAGATTATCGTCTGATGCCGCAAACATACAAGGAGTAAGTGCAGTATATTGTATGTACAGTATCACCATTAATATATACCACTATTGACAGGCATCTGGATCCCGAATGTCGGTTATATCGCAGGCTGTGTCCACATTCCTGGCCTCCTGTATATTCGGCTTTGTATTCAATTGGAAACTCAGTCTATTGACACTGGCTTTCATGCCATTCATTATATTCTCGGTCATGCTTTCCATGAGAATCGTCTCAAAGCTCTCGACCACTGATAAAGAGGCCACAGAACAGGCCTCAAAGATAGCCATCGAAGCCATTAGTGGTATTCGGACTGTTGTTTCACTGAATCAGGAAAAATATTTCCTTCAAAAATATACTCAAGTATTGGACGACAAAATTGGGTATAAAATGAGTGTTTTATGAAATTTGTTTTAATTATCACTTAATTTATAAACCAAAAGACTGGCCAAACGGCGGTGCATTTGGAACGGCTTAGCCCTGGGAGTGGCCGAAGCCATGCCTATGTTCTCATACTCGGCTGCCTTTCTATACGGAGGTATACTCGCCTCCAGGGGTGAGATTAAATCGGGTGACTTTTTCAAGTGAGTTTCAATATTTAACATAAAAGTGTTGCAATCCGTAAAAATAAATATCATTTTCAAACAGAATAATAGAGACAATGATTTACGGAGCGATGGTTATCGGCCAGAGTGTCATCTTTACGTCCGACTACCAAAAGGCTAAAATTTCGGCACAGAATATGTTTCGCCTAATAGACAGACAACCATTAAATCAAACCAATAATAATATCACACCTAAAGAGAAGCCAAACGAATGCTTAGGAGAGCTGTCCTTCAGAGGCATTCACTTCTTTTACCCGAATCGCCGAGAAGTCAGTGTTTTGAATGGCCTCTCATTTAAGGCCCGAAAGGGAGAGACAGTAGCTTTGGTTGGTTCCAGTGGTTGCGGGAAATCCACTTCAATTCAACTGCTCGAACGCTTCTACGAGTGTGCTCAGGGCAAAATTGTAAATAAGCTTACAGTTTGACATAAATGAAAATGTACTGTATAGTTTTAACACAACTCTAATACACTTCAGTTGTTGGACGGGAATGACATCAGAAATTTGGACACACAATGGCTTCGGTCGCAAATGGCATTAGTATCTCAGGAACCGATTCTTTTCAGTTATAATATCAGAGATAACATCGCTTATGGAGACAATTCTCGATTTGTGGCGATGGACGAAGTGGTAGAGGCGGCCTCCAAAGCAAACATTCATGAGTTTATCAAAGACCTACCGCATGGGTATGACACTAACGTCGGCAATAAAGGTACAGTACTTGGAAACAACTTGATTGTAATGATTGTAATAGATTTTGTCTATCTCCTAATCGCTATATTATTCATAAACTAAAAGGCACTCAACTGTCTGGGGGTCAAAAACAGAGGATTGCGATCGCGAGAGCTCTCGTAAGAGATCCTAAAATTCTACTCTTAGACGAAGCGACCTCCGCTTTGGACTCCAACTCTGAAAAGGTTTGTAAAAATAGTTTACTTTTTAAAAATAAAAATTTTCTATAATTTATGAACAGTTGGTCCAAAAGGCTTTGGACGAGGCCTCTAAGGGAAGGACGTGTATAGTGATAGCCCATCGGTTAACAACTATACAAAATGCCGACAGAATTATAGTCATGCAAAAGGGGGTCTCCATTGAAGAGGGACGACATCACGAGCTCTTAGAGAATAGAGGAGCTTATCATCAGTTATATAGCGTTCAAACGGAATGAGCTTGATTAAAACACTAAAATTGTAAAAAATCTAAAATTTATGACACCTGTAATTTTCAAAAGCTTACTAGTTAATAAGTTACTAGCTGTAATTAAATATATTATAATTGAAGTAAAGTATTAAATTTTATACAATTTGAAGTACCCGTACACTTGTTATTTATAACATAATACTATACCGGTATATTATCAAATAGTTATATACCGCAATGAACTCATAAAGCATTGTATTCAATTCTGACTATTGTTTAATATCTTAACTAGATTAATTAATAAGTCGTTAATATTTTACAATTTATTAATTAGGCTTTAAAATGAAAACAATTTCAATATTTATTTATTTGTAAAAATGCACATAAAATGCAATATTTAAACAAAATATGAAATAAAATTAAAATTGGGTTCAGACTAAAAAATAATAATAAATTAAATGACAGGTGTTTTTGTAAAGACTAGATATTCACTCATTTTATTTGTTATAGTTATTTATATAAAAGTGAAAAAATATCGTTTAATTAAAATATTTACTGTTGGAAACCAGTATATGAGCCGTTCAGGGATGGGGTCCACCAATAATAGTTATTCTCGTAATGATAATTATCAGCGCAAGTGTAAGCCTGTTGTCCCCCACAATATTCTACCTGATCCTATATTATCATTTTAAAACAATATTATTAGAAATTCAGACATTATAGACAAAATAATTTACAGATAATCTCCACAGACGTGTACACGAGCTATCATTTGGGGTATAATAGGGTTGAGTTGTAGTCGTATTGGATGTGCCGTTAATCTCATTATCCGGTGTCGACAATACAGACTGCAAGTGTGCGATATAACGGATGGCCATTCTGTACCAATTTATAGCATTTTATTCATTTTATAGTTAACCAAATAAACATAATAATTATGTTGCATTGTACCGTAGTATTATAAAGTTTTTTGTACTGGTAACTTTTTTAGAATAAACTTATGCTATTTCAGGATTTCATAATAGTAATTTATTATTTATTACAAATCGGTCTATACAAGCACAAATACAGTATTAGTCTAATATAGTCTACTCCAATACTATTAGATATTATTATTTGTAAAAGATACTAGAATAAAGTTCAATAAAAGCATAGACTACTAGAATATCTTAACTAGCTAATTAGTTAATATTTGTATTCCCCATTATTATTATTTATATTAATGTCAATAAATTAGTAAGAGTAAAATACCTGAGCGATTCAATTTTGGACAGTCGTTTCCCCCGTGGTTTAAGACAGGGTAGTTTAGCCCGGAGCGCATCAAAAGCCAAATTCATGTCTCGCATACGAGTCCGCTCTCTATCGCAGGCACTCTTCCTCTGCTCCTCTTTGGTCATCGAAGAGTGGGCTCCCCTTCCCCTCAGAGATCGGGCGTCCGGATATCTCTGCTGTCTTTCTGTGGCAAAACGCGTGTAAAAGTTGTAATCATTACTTAATCCCACTTTGGATGTACTGCTGGTCTGAAAGTTATTAATATTGTTTAGAGACAACTGTTTCCATGAGTTGTAGTCATTGAGTGCCGAAGAAGTTTGTTTTACATCTGTTGTCTGCAAAGTGTTTGTTGTGTTCATTGAGTGATTCAATTCATGATTCAAATATGGTTGAGATCTGTTGTGCGAAACCTGTGTCTGTGTCCCAGACCCAGGCTCATCCACTGCCTGACCGTTGATCTGTTGTGACACATATGATGCCAATGCCAGCGCTGGTGAGTAGTCATCCTCACAGACACTCGACTCGAGTCGGCTTTTCTCATCCCTCGAGTCACCCGTATTTAAGTCTGGATTCAAGTAAATGCTTTCATTAGTCCTGTAGGTGTCGTGTCTGATGGGCTGATCCCAGGCATCGGGTGCTTCCATTTTAGTCAATGTTATCAAATGGCATTTCCCCGACGAGTCCTCCTCTTCCCGGCACTCCATATGCCTCTCATTCATGGTCTCGTCTTCACTCATGTATTCATTGGTATTCACATTATCCATGATATCATCGTTATTTGAGTTGTTGTCAACTATGGACTCGTTTTGAAGACAATTATCATTACTTTCATTGGCGTTCATACCATTCGTATTGAAGTCATTGCTATAATCACTGCAACTCTTATCGAAATTAATTTCCATTTAGTAATTCAATTATTAGTTTACACAAAGCTTTTGTGTTTTATAGCAATAGTTTATAGTATTCAACCGTTTAATATAATAAAATTAAAGTTACAATAATTTGTATAATTTTTTGAACATTGAGTTCAAATTGAAACAAATTTTGCGGTGAAAAATAAGTTCAATTGAAGTTCATTTAGTATATAAAACACATGTTAAGACGCTTTAATGTTTGCCAAAACTTTTTTATTTCATTATATATGTCTATTAATTAAAACATTTATTATAATAATCGGAACTTTTAATAATTATATGAAATGAAAGCTAAAATATAAATATAAAAATATAACCTAGCATAAAAGTTGTGCTATAAAATAAATGACTATTATTTTGTACTATAGGTAAGCAAACTATGAAAAAGTATTTGTATTCATTGAAAGACTATTTGAATAGTTATGAAAATGCACACAAAATACACTGATATACGAAAAGTTAACAAAAAAGAGCAAAAAGAGTATTTGAAGTACTTGTTAATCATGACATCCAACACATGCGGTATATAATAATAATTAAATACTAAAAACCCAGTATTTATAATATTGTACCGCAAATGCAGCTGCAATTTAACGGTTCATCTCTCATGTCATGTCAGATGTCAAACGATTTGTCCCTTTTATTGTTTACTAACTTTACATCCCTGTGTCGGACACTACATACGGTGTTTTGTCTAACTATTACCTGTATGTCTACTTTAGTATGGAAACCAGTACTACAATAGACTTACTGCTCGTTAATAGACTAACTTTCACAACAATTCTCTATTCACATGAATATACGTTTAGCCACTCGTTGTGCTCTCTATTATCTCCTCAATCTATATCTCATTATCTTTTCATAATTAGTTATAATTTATAATCTAATAAATACTTTGTAAGTCATCTGCTATTAGAAATTTTTGATGAATAAGTTATACTTTCATATTCAAATTAGAGTACATTTAGTTAAATTAGCAAGCAATATAATTGTGAAAATAAAGTAATTTATTGTGAATTTTCAGTGAAATAAACGAACAAAAGAAATAAAACATAATTTTAAGAAAATTTTGTAACTTGAATAACAAATCAATTAGAAATAAGTTATAACAAAACAAATAACAAATATAATTTAAAAATTTTGTAAGTCCTATATTAAATAAGTAAATATTTATATTTAAATTAAAAGTAATTTTGAGAATTAAACATTAACAAACATTGTAATAATTTAGAAAATAGGCTAAAATACTGTATTATGACATCAAATTGAATTTGGTCTAGATAACCCGTTAAATAATTTTAAGGTAGAAATGTTTGAGGGAATAAAGTTTGACTTTTTTGAGATATTAATTAAAAGTAAAAGTAGGGAATAAATGACAGAATTTTGTAAGTTTTGTATACAATGTTAAAGAACTTGAAAAGGTTTAACAGTAAAAACATTGAGAGAGCAACTTTTATAAACATTAGACATAACTTTCACTTTAAAACAATTAAAATGAGCCAGTAATTAATATAATAATTGATACTAATTTTGTTTAACATTAAATGTGATTTGTTTGAAATGGTAATTCTTATGAAAAGTGTGTCTATTAAAAAATAATTATAATTATAAAATATGTGTACAATTTATGACTAATAATGTTGAGAACTATTTTATAAATGGCAATATTGGAATTAAAATGAATGTATACTGGTGTGTATTCAATTAAATTGAGGTGTAAAAATACTTTTAGATTAACTTTACAAAAATTTAATTTTCTATAATAAATTTATAATATGTAAATTATAAATTATTATTATTATTAGAAATTTTGAGCTTTTCAATGGCTGGGAAGGAAACCTAATTTAGTAACCATTTGTTTGAATTGTTTTATAAAAATACATTATATTTCTATTTCTGAGTCTATTTTAGTAATTATTTACAGAATATATGTCTTTCGTGGAAATGATGCAAATTATGACACAAATGAGGAAATAATACAATGAATATGATTTGTATTGTTAGTTGTGATTTGAGGTGAGATTAATGTAATCCATGAGATGTTAGTATTTCTATCAATCCGTTAGTTATAATGAGAAGTAATGCTTCAGTTTGTGAACTTGCTCATTTATAACTATTTTTGCCGACATCTGCAATGATAGCAACGTCTTCATAGTCACCACTTTTACTCACAAATTGCTTATTAAGTCTATAACTACCCGATTCATCATTACCTCCTCCATAGCCTCCTCCACCGCCTCCACCATAGCCTCCACCACCACCTCCTCCATAACCACCACCACCGCTACCACCGCTACCACCATAACCTCCACCACCATTACCACCACCATAGCCGCCGCCGCCGCCTCCCGATCCGCCGTAACTGCCTTCACCCGAATATCCCCCTCCGTATCCGCCATCGCCTCCCGAATCGCCGCCGTAACCACCACTATCACCACCACCATAATCTCCACCTCCCATACCACCCCCATAGCCGCCTCCTGATCCGCCATATCCACCACCACCTCCTGAGCCGCCATAACTTCCACCACCTCCGCCACTTTTGTATAAACTCCGGGGCTGTTAGGTTGAGCGCATCCACTGCCAAATGAAGTGATCCCCTGCAGAATCCAGGCGCCATTGGCTATCTGGCAATTAAGTGGCCCACCACTATCACCCTGAAAA